CAGCTGATTATTAATATTTTTAAGCACTTTCTTTGTCAAGAGTCCTAGAATAAAATCAACCAGAAAATAAAGGAGGAAAAGGTAAACTCTATTGGCTGCTAAGGCAGAAGCGTTCATCGGAAAGTGAGCAGCCCTGCTTCGTGGCAGTTACCAGAAACAGGTTATAGGCATGTAGATTGGTCTTGAGAAAAAGGAACAAGAAAACAAGAACTTAACCTGTGGAGTAAAACTTGTGTTCTGTGACCAGTTGTTAAAAGGCTTAGGGAGAAGCAAGTATGGGAAAGTAACTTTCTCAAAGTTTCTGGCAATAAAAATGGCTGCTTTAGTCATGTGACAGTCGCAAAAGATATTAACCTTTGTTCTTTGAAATACATGTATGCCCTTCCCCCTTCCTGCTTTTCAAATATAGAACCTTCTTATCTCTGTGATATGAAAATACATGATAGGTCAGTCAGTTACTATGGACTCACTCATCCATCACAAGTGATGCACACTTTACATAATTTGTTCTAACTCAAAATGTATACATTTACATTTATTTGTTAACATTTAATATAAGACCAAAGATTACTCTTTGAGTTCAGGACAGCTGCTTTGACCTTTGCATTGTCTTTCATAGATGAGCCACAGCAATAATACATATCATCTCATTTCCAGTTTTAATTTTTTTTCTTAATGGAAGCAAGTCTTAAATGAAAACCAGTGAAATAATCAGCACACCGACTCCCTCTAGATTGTTACGATTTTTCTTTTCTTTTTTTTGCCCCTCCCCTTGTTACGATTTTTCTTTTCCCCTTAAACTTTACAGGTCTCCTAAGACAGTTCAAAACATTTGACTTAATGTTGACAGAGAAAATTCTCTTTCCAAATTCATTTTCCACTGATTTATGTTATATTTAATTGAATTAGATAGTTGTAATAACAAAGACAGCAACATAAACAGTTCTGGGAACAATTCAACCAACTCTGCTCAAGCATCCAACACACGTGGCAAGAAAATAATTCACAGGATGCTCGAGTAAGATTTAGGAGAGCAAATATGTAGCATGCTGTGGGCAGTGGTTGCTTAGGGAAGGAACTGATAGCAGGTGGATCATGGGAAGTTAGTTCAGCCTAAAAACGCCCCAAATGAGTTTAGCTCCCAGGTAGGATGAAGAGCAGATGCTCTGGCTGGGACTTGTAGGGCAGGTAATCAAAGATGCTCACAGATAGGACCGAGGCCTCCAGAGTGCCCACACTCTCGCCCTGCCCAAACCCCCTTGGAGGGCCTGTGGAGCAACTGGGGAGGATAGAGAGAGTTGAGGGCCCTCACTAAGAACATGTTTGATCCCAGGCGGTGACGAGGCTCGGAAAAGTTACCCAGCCCCTTGGTAATGTGGCATTTCCAGCTGTGAAAAGTGACGTTTGAACTAAAATAAAACCATGTGGATCAATTTAATCTCAAAGTCAATGATCTCTTTATTTGTTTTTGCGGTTGTTTGTTTTATTTTGCTTTGTAGAATACCTAAAATTAAAACATTGTTTATATATAGCAGCAATAACAGTGTTGAAATCAAGCAGATGCTTTGGAATTCGTTTTGTGGCCTCTAGGTTGGCAGTGGGAGTGGAAACCAGTGCCCAAGGCCTCAGACAAGAGCTTTGATCGATTGCTTCTGGATCCTGTGGTGATGGGCTGGCAAAGTCTGACAACAGGGACACGAGGGGACAGCTGGCAGCTCTCAGCATCAGCCCTGAGCCCGGCTACTGAGCCTGCGGATGGGAGAAGAAAACCTGCACTGAGAGGCCTACCCCCATGGCTTTGTGTCCTTCGCTCTGAGTGCCTGAGTAGTCATCCTCCCTGAGGAGGCCTCTTTTCAAGGCCAGGGATCATGACACCTTCCTTCTCATGCTCTTCCCTGGGCAAATGCAGCCAGGAGATCAGATTGGTGTTTCAATTCTACGATTCTACAGTTCTAGCTTTTTGTGGAAGTGGCTGCAACTGGAGACCATCAGACATGCTGAGGGAAAGCCAATCCCATCCTGCAGCTATTCCTTCTCACCCAGCAGCACCCTGGTCCCCAACTGGAAAAGCCCATTGTATGCTCTAGGGAGGGAATCTTTGGTCATCCCCAGAGAGTGGCTATACCACAAAGGAGAAATCCAGAGGACACTCTGGTGCGTCCCTTGTATGTAATTTGGGGTAATTCAGCTGAATAACCATGATTAGCATGGATAATTGGCACATGGCCCAAGAAGGTATTTGTGTTCTAGGCGTACCTTTCTCTTTCAGGATTCTTAGGAGTATGAGCATGAAATTAATACTCTGAAGGAAGGACAAGTTTCTTCCACCCCGGTGGCCTGCCTCCCTCTCCTGCCATTTTGGGTTCCTACTTCTCCTTGGCCATCACATGAATTGAAGTGGATTTTGAGTCTTTACTCAACAACAACAACAAAAAGATATTTATGATCTCTGTTCTTAATTTTAAAATTGGTTTAGCATGACATTTTAGATACCTTTGTCTTTCAAAAACAAAACATAAAACTGAATTAAGTGTCTTTCATATTCCCACATGGTTGTGATTTTCTTTTAAAACAGGTCAGTTGCTCTGAATAGAAATCTTGCCCAATTCCTGGTTAAAAAAAATAAAGATAGAGAAGAGAGAGAGAGAGAGAGAGAGAGAGAGAGAATAAGCCCTACATCACAACCTGAAGTAGTGCTGAAAACTAGATAATAGTACAAACTACATATATATAACTTTATATTTTCTGGCAGCCACATTTAAAAAAGGAAAAAGACACATGTGAAATTAATGGGTGAAATTTCATTTAATGATATTGATTTAATCCAAGATATCCAAAATACTATCATTTCAACATGTCATAGATATTGAAAATTATTAATGAGGCATTTTGCCTTTTTGTGTGTGTGTGGAGTTGTGTCTGTGAAACCCAGTGTGGTTTTACACTTACCGCACACCTCAGTTTGGGTGAGCCACATTTCAAGTGCTCAATAGCTACACATGGCTATTAGCTACTATATTGGGCCACATTGGCCTATGTATCTTTTATGCTGACACTTCACTTTTATTTCCATTTTCTTGCCCAGTCTTAAAAGAGAGAAAGCATTTAGACTCCAAGTCTTACTGGAAAATAAGTCCGAGTATTGGAACATTTTCATAGCAGTTCTGTGAGGTATAGGACTTGTCAAGTAGTAGCTATTTCCATTATAATACTTCTTCCTTCCTCAGCAAAACATCAATTGGTATAGAGTAAGCAGTGAATTGAAGAAGAACTGCTTGATTTTATTAATTCCAACCTAAATCCTCTCCCCCTCCCATCAAATTATTCCAATGAGAGCTATCACCATATATTACCCAATAGTGAAACGTTTTGTGATGTGTTTTATACAGTATTTCTTAATGTGCACAGGGCATTTTATAGCAACTTTGCAAATTGTTAGAAGTCCAGCTATTGGGTAGAGTTTTCTAGATGAAGAAAACTGCACATCACATTAGTTCTTTCCATGTGGATGCTGAAGACAATACTGTCAATAATTTTCCTCACCTTCACTGTGACTAGGGACAAGGCTTCCTCCTTGTATTTCCCAGGGGGCATTTGTCTCTGGAGAAAGAGAATTTCAACTCTTGGTTACAAAGTTTAGTACCTGCATGTCTCCATCTCATTTATTACAACTTTGTGGTATCTCTATTGTAGAATTTGGACAAGTTAAACAACAACACTACAACTCATTATGCTGTCTCTCCACTAGTCTATGAGAATTCAGGACACAGAACATTTCTTATTCTTCAGTAGGTCTAAGTGAACGCAAGCAGCAGTGCCTGGTGCATCACTCGTGCTCAGTACCTAGTCACTGAAGCCAGGACATTCTGTACCATTCATTTGTCTTTTTCCCCTTTGTCATACACTTCCATCAAGACCCAGGACTGCACTGATATGTCCACAATGGATTTTATTCATTCAGCAAACGTTCATTGAAGGCCTACTTTACATTAGGCACTTTGCTGGGGGAGTGTGGTGAAAAACCCAGAACCCCTCCTGAAATTTAAGGGTAAGAGAAAGGACATGGAAAAAATAAGTGCAATGGGTACTGTGGTTTTGAAATACCTTCCACTGACTCTTTGTTCCAAGTGGTCTACTTTGTTTTGTTTATTCATTTGCCTCCCCTGCAATCCTTTCTGTCATTCAGCCTAGAGTCTCAGAGCCTCAGGAAAGAGATCCGGGTACTGCTTTTGCAGACAGATCAGAGGAGGGAGGGCGGAGGCAAAAGATGAAAGCAGAAACTCTCTTGGTGGGGTCAGTGTTGAGGGACCACAGAGCTGAGAGAGACAAGGAGATGCAGGAAGAGAGGGAGGGAGGGAGAGAACGACAGGGAAAGGGAGAAAGAAGAGGGGGACAGAGAAAGACAGAGACATAGAAGCCTTTTTCTGCCACAAGCTGATTTCAAGTCTTGTTGGTGCTAATTGGAAGGAAACTCTGAGTTTCAGAATTTAAACTGGACTGGACTCAGTTTTAAAATATAAATGACTGAATAGTGCCTAGATACCTGTGAGCTATCTATCTTTCTGGCTATCCTGTCGATGGTGACTCAATAAAGGAAAGCGAATAATAGTAACTGGAAACCTTGAAACTGATTCCTATTTGTACAGCTCTGAGTTGGGCCTTCTCATCCAACCGGTGATAGCAAGAAATGAACTACCCAGCCAAGTCCTTCTCGGGTGGCAATATGCTTTTGAAGTTCTGTTTCTTTCAGAAATGACTACTTCTGTTTCAAATACTTTGTCGAAGGTTCACCTCAGAGTTTTTCAGATGCTAGATAATAAACAATCAATTGTTACAAGAATATGTGTCCAATAAATACTTGTGTAGTGGGTGAATTTATAAGTGGTCCGGAAAAGAAGAGAAAATATATTTTAAACTTTACTTGTTGCAGTAAGTCCTCAATAACTATTGTAATTCATTACCCAGAAGTTCAAATGCAGAAATGCAAGTGATTTGTGTTTTCATAAACAATCCTTTGAGAATTCCTCTCTTTCTAGTTTAGAAAAGCCTCTGCTGAGATGGCCATCTTCTTAAAAGCATTTTCCAGGCATATATATATATATATATTTTTAAAAGCTACAAAACTTTATAACTTTCAAGGAGTACAAGAGAGAATGGATTTTGGAATCAGACAAATCTGGGCTCAAATCACAGTTTTGTTGTAGTGTAGCTGTGACCTTGATCAAATAACCTAACTTCTCAGCAGCTTGGTGATCTCTGCTGTAAAGGAAGGAAGGGAGGGAGGAAGGAAGAAAGGAAGGAAAGAAAAAAAGGAAGGAAGGCATGCAAGCTGACTGGCTGGAGAAGAAGGAGGAGGAGGGGGAGGAAAGGAGGAGGAGAATAGGAAGGAGGAAGGAAGGAGAGAGAGAGAGAGGAGGAGGGGAGGGAGGGTAGGAGGGAGGCGAGACTCTTCTTTCAGTGTTGGTGTTGGGAGACACATGGGTCAGAGACAACATAAGAAAATACCTAGTATGGTTCCTGGCACAAAGTGGATATTCAAAAATGGCAACAACTGCTGATTGATTTGCTATCCCTGAAATAACCACATTTTTTTTTTCCTGAAAAGATGCAGTTGCTTTTCATCTCTGGTCAATGCCTATGGTACCTTCTCTGTGGCACTCATTGCAAGGATGACTGGCTGGCATCAGCAATTGGGAAATTAGTCTCTGCCTCTCAGGGGTAGGTTTTCTCCTGGCTGCTTCATCCCATCTTTCACTTGGTTTTGAGCAATGGTTGAGTCTTCAGTGCCCTCAGCAAGAACCTCACCTTCCTAGAGATGGCTTTGGGAGGGGTGGTGAGTGGGTTGCCCATCAAGTGGGCTGTGGGTACCTGCAGCTGGTAACATCAACAACTGCCACCAGGAGTGATGAGAGTTGTTGCAGATCCTGAAACAAGGAATGAAAAACCCCAGAGCAGGGTAAGAACATGTGAGACACTCCGAAGAGGAAGGCTGCACAGCATAAAACAAGAGGCATAGTAATCCACACATTCTCGTGGCAGGTGCAAAGGTGGCTCACTCGGCCTCATGGCTCTTCTCACCAACTCCTTAGTGAAAAGAAATTCTCATTTTGACCTCCCTGCTTCACAGAATCATATTCTTGTCCATGTGTTTATGCTCAAGCTAAATTCTAGTATCTAGATCAGCTTATGCTCAGCAAGGTCAGGTAACTCAGTTATTTGTGAAGATGATGTGGAACTATGTCAGGTGTTGTCAGACAAGAGACCCTGGACAGCATGGCCTTTACATGCTGGTTCATACCAACATTTCAGTGCCCAGAATACACGTGTTTTACTCTGAGTCTCTCTGGCAGCTGGTGCTGGGACAAAGGTTCAAGTGCAAGCAATTAGTTTAGGTGGTGAGAGAATACATTGAAATACATTGACACAGGGAGGAGTGTTATTAAATCATCTTCCAATAGGGAAACTCTGGGAGCTGGTGCAAAAGCCCTGCCTGAGGGACAGGGGAGCTGGGGAAAGAAATAGTTTCTTCCCATCATCTATTTCTTCAACTGTTCTGATTTTTTAAATTTTCCTTGGGATCTTTGGATATTTCAATCATGAGGTATTGCTAGAGGAAACTAATTTCATCCACTCCTTGCTCCTGCAAAAACATGTACACATGTCTTTCTTTCTGTGTCATAGTCCACTCTGCATTTTCAGACCTGGTGCACACATTCCAAAAGTTCTCAGAGCTCCGCCGAAATGACATTTTTTTCATCACAGGAAATCAGCTTCCATAATAGCAGGAATCTGAAAAATTTTGACACAGCACTGTTAGACATTTCCTTTTAATTTTCTGAATTTAAATCTAAATTATAGCATTTTAGGAGAGTAAAGCATATAAATCCCCAAAAATATGTTAAGCATGTATGTACTTGTAAACACACCACTCCTTTCTTATCACAAGATGGAGCAAAGATCTCGCCCATAGAAGTCAAATACCTCAAATTCAGACTCTTTCCCAGAAAAGCATTCTTTCTGTTCCTCCCTCACATGCTCTGACCCTGCGTGACTCAGTCTCCCCAGATGCACAGTCATCTAGTTCTCTCAGTTTGTCCTTGCCCCAACTTCCACCCTTGGGAGCTGTCCATCACTTGGAAGCTGTGCCTTTGGCTACTGTCCAGGAAACAATCATTTCCTAAAGAGTACTTGTGGCACCAAAGAGTTCACGGGAGCCTCCCAAAATATGTCCTTCTCCTACCAGGTCCAGCTTTTGTCTGGAAGACCTGAAACACATGCAAATGTAAAATTCCTTTCCCCCTTGAGAAGGGCAAAAGAATGATTTATTGAAATGAGAGGCATTGTCTTGCTGCCTGGCCTGGGGGAACCAGGTAAAACCTTTCTCTAGCACTGGCCTGGGACTGTGGCTTCCCACTGGGTTTGCAATAAGGAAGAATTCCCAGCTCACATAAGGGTTCTTTCTTCTCTGATTTGTACTACCTGTCTCTTGTGTGGAGAAATTCAATAGGACCAGGAAGAGGCAAGGACTCAAGTAGACCATTGTCATTGATGGGGCGTTTGGACTAAGCCCAAGGCAGATGGATCCTCTTTGTTCAAGTGATGTGCTGAGCCCCAGTACAGGTCTTACCAAAATGGCAAGATTGCTGTCCAAAATAGTGTCACTTAATCTTAAGGAGAGTACCATTGACCCATCTTTGATGGCAACACACGCACACACACACACACACACTCACACAAACACGCTCACGTACACAAGCACACATACACACATGCACAAAGAGAGGGACAGGGAGACAATGATCTTTTTAAGCCTGGAATTCTTTGGGTTTGGTTTCAAGCTAGAAGAAAAACCTTTGTTAGGGAGAAAGCTTGTAGATAAATCATCAAACTGTTTGGAAATTTCAGCACTTTGAAAAATGAGACTGTGTGGAGGAAATTTTTTTCTTAGCTGTGTTTCAGGGTTTTTTAAAATTCTTTTTCCTCATCCATAACTCAAAAGAGATTGACCTTTACAAGGTCAAATGTTTTATGCATTTAGTTTTCATGTCAGATTATTAAGGAGAAATATAAAATTCTGGATTTGGTGTATGTCCCATGTTTTAAAGAAACACAGATCGAATCCCATATGCTTTTGAAACTGATCTTGCTAAAAAAAAAAAAAAGAGTTATCATGACTTAGGTCATAAGGCCTCAGGTTGAGAAAAAAGATTTCCCCTGTGAACATGAAGTTCATTACTGACCAAAGATCCCCACATAAGTAGTTTAAAACTTTCCCACTGTTGCTGAAATAGTAAGTCATGCAAAGATGCACAGAAGACTGGATATTTGTTTTTTATCCTAAAATATCTTCTCTTTGCCACTTTTGACCTTAAATGGGGTTTCTGCCCTCTCTGATTCTTTGTTTCTGTTGTGTTCACTGCAGCAATGTGTTGGATGGCTCAGATGTGACTGTCACACTGTTTTAAACATGTGTGCCTGAAGAGTTATTGCATTGAGCTTTCATATACTCCATACCCTTTCTTCCAGTACCCGTGTCTTAAATACACATTTCTTAAAATACATTTTTTTTTATCCAAAGACCAAGAAAGTGATGAGAAATGCATGGAGAGAGGCAAACAGCTAATAGGCCATTTTGGTTATTCCATTGAAAGGCTACATGGAAAATCTTTTACTTGCTGCTTGGTCTCTTACATTATGGAGTCAACTCTCAAAGATTCTAGAGAGTTCTATGAAGAAAGGGGATATTGCAAAAGGGGAGGCAGAAAACAAGACATGATTGGGTTTCAAGGTTGGTAGTGTTGACAAAAATTGGCTGTCTCAATCCCTGAATCCAAATTTGCATTTACCTACAGTATTCTTGGCTTTGTCTAGATTCTGATATTTAAGCTCCGAGGACCAACTGCATTGCCAGGTGGTTCAGACTGCAACAAAATCATTTCTCTAAGATTCTACCTCAGATTCATAGAGAATATGTTGAACCCCATCAGACATCACAACTGTACCTGCAGGTGAGATTATTGTCACTTCTGTCTCTGAGGCCTTAAGCTAGACATGAACAGAGTGGCTCATATCTGTTCATTGATCTAGTTCATCATCTACGTAAGTACTTGACACATATTCAATAAAACACCTGTGGAAGCGTCCCTAGAGGTGCCTCAGCTCACTTCAGAGGGATGCAGCTGTTTGGGGATGGCTGCTTGTGTTCTGTGTACTTTTCCTTCCTCTTGGCCTAACCATCAGAAGGGCCTATGACAGATCTTCTGTGACCTGGTTTAGGGTCCCCTCTCTACCTGGTTAGTTACCTTCTGGTGACTGCTTCCTCTATTATTATTTCTTCTTCTTCTTCTTCTTCTTCTTCTTTCTTCTTCTTCTTCTTCTTCTTCACCTCCCCTCCCCTGTTCCTTCCCTTTTTTCCACTTATCTTCTTTGTTCTTCTATTTAAAAAAAAAAGAAGTCAATAGATAGATGACAGATAGATTGATAGATCATTCTTCACAATTACCTTTGCACTGATCTAGTTAATATGAGCACTAGATGTGATGTGATTTATCAAATATAATCCTGGCTCTTCATCTGCATCACAGAAGGATTGCCCGCTGCAAGGCTTCATGTAGCCTCTGTTTATGCAAAGTCAAGGTGCCTAATGATACAGGATGCCTTTGATCAGAGCAGATTAAACAATCTGAAAAAATAAGGCTAAAAATCTAGCTTGGAACGACATTTCCTCAGATCTGGGGCCACACACTTAATAATTGCCTGAAAGGGCTGGGCAGCTCCCATGGACAAGAGGAACTGGGTGGGTGAAGGTACAGCTGAAATGAAGACTCTTGGCCCCACACCAATGGGACAGCCACCATTCATCATCAACTGATGTGGGGCAGGAGTATGGGCCCTCCTTCTTGCTAAACCTTCTTGATTTTAAAGAAGAAAAAATCCAAGTGTTTATATGAAGCTCCCCCAGCTCTCTGATGTTGGCAATTAATGCAGTTAAAACAAAAATAAACCTGATGTGTTTTTGGATTCAGCCTGCAGCCTGATGATTTGCTACCTTTGGCTTAGGTTGCCTGTACTAATAAGTGTCCTGGACATTATACTTCTTTACTTTAGTTGTAAACTTTTATCAAGCATTATATCAGTTAGGATGAAGTTCAACTACTAGTATTATGAACCTAACATGACAATGACTTAAAAATGATAAAGGCTTAAAAATTATAAATGTGTGTTTTTTCTCTCACATTAAAAAAGTCCAAGGGTAAGGGTGCCTGGGTGGCTCAGTCAGTTAGGCGTCCGACTCGTGATTTTGCCTCAGGTCATGATCTCAGGGTCCTGGGATTGAGCTCCACATCAGGCTCTATGGTCAGTGGAGAGTCTGCTTGAAGATTTCTCTTCCTCTCCCTCTTTCCTTTCCCCAACTCACACACGTATTCTCTCTCTCTTTCAAATAAATAGATCTTTTTTAAAAAAACCATAGATAGACAGCCCGGCAGTATAATAATGTCCATATGATTATCCTCCCTTTCTGTATTTTTGCTCTCTTTCTGCTCGCCACCCTTAGCACATGCCTTATATCTTCAAAGTTGACTCATGGTCACAAGGTGGCTGCTGGAACTTCAATCAGAAAGATAAAAGAATGGAAGAGGAGAAGAGGGACACTTGCCTCCCAGTTGAATAAGCCCCTTTTTAAAAATAATTTTTCTGGATGTCCTATCCAAAAATATCCACTTGCACATTGACCACTATTATATGGAAGGGACGATGGGAAACAATTTTTTAACTAAGCATAATGACATTTCCAACACAAGTCTGTTGTTGAGGAAGAAGAAATTAGATAGGCAATCAGCATTCTCTCCCATAAGTCTCTTTTATGATCCAGAAGACTGATACTCAAAAGCAAATAATTGGCAGTTCTTATCCTCAAGAAACAGTATAAGAGAAATCATGCCATGTTATAGTTGTTTATATACAGCTAAGTATTATACTGTTGTCTAGACAGAGCTTTATAGCAACACAAAAAAAAAAAAGGGAACAATGAACTTGCTTGGAGTTGACATCTAGGAAGTCTAACTCTTAAGCAATGACATTGTAGCTAGGGAGAAGTTATTCCAGTCACTAACTTTGCCATGGACCTCATTTCCTGTTACTCCTTAGAAAGATGTCCTAAGGGGCTTAGGAAAAAACATTAAAGCTTTCCTAATGAAAAAGAAGTGAAAGGGTTTCAAAGCAGAGGGAATGAATAAAGAGTTCTGTTAGTATTTGCCTTATTGAGGTAGCTTGATGCTGGGTATAAAAATACTTGTGGTAACCAGAAGCAAAGAATGATTTTGAGGGAAATGGATGAAGGTGATCAAAAGGAATAAATCTCAAGCTAAAAGATAAATAAATAGTGGGGATGTAAGTACAATATGATGACCATGGCTAATATACTCTATGATATATTTGAAAGTTACCAAAGAGGGCAGCCCGGGCGGCTCAGCAGTTTAGCACCACCTTCAGCCCAGGGCATGATCCTGGAGACCTGGGATCAAGTCCCACGTCGGGCTCCCTGCATGGAGCCTGCTTCTCCCTCTGCCTGTGTCTCTGCCTCTCTCTCTCTCTCTCTCTCTCTCTCTCTCTCTCTCTCTCTCTGCCTCTCATGAATAAATAAATAAAATCTTTTAGAAAAAAAATGGAAGTTACCAAGAGAGGACATCTTAAGGGTTCTCATCACGAGGAAAACAAGAATATTTTTTAACTATATGAGGTCATGTTTGTTAACTAAATTTGCTGTGGTAATCAGTTTTGCAATATTCATATGTCAAGTCATCATGCTGGACACCTTAAATCTGTGCAGTGCTGTATGCCAATTATATCTCAATAAAACTGGGAAGAAGATGTGAACATCTCATGTTCATGGACAAGGAGACCATGTAAAGTACAATGGGTGCCAGTTCTATACCTACCACCATTTGCAGAATATGGGGATTTTTAAAAACAAACTTGATGCAGGAAGAAAAACAAATATTTGTGGATGTCTAGGGCAATGACTGAGCTTTTCTGAGTCCAGTAGGGACTCATGTCTAAGTCGTTTCTGTGTCATGAATACTTGGCAAAGAATATAAGCTCTTTCAGTGTTTTATGAAGGAATGTTTTACCAACTTGGAGGCAAAGATAGTCTCTGTTTGGAATGAAGAAGTCTTATGAATTCCAGAAAATGCTATCTTGCAATTAGGAAGGGCATTTTAAGGAGCTACCAAAATCCAGAGTAAGCTAGAACAAAGTCAAAAATGAAACAATTCTTGGCCATATTACTAAGCAGCAGAATTGAGATTATCCTAAAGTCAGATGTATCTGTAGCCAGTAAATTCCCTTTATCATTTTTTTTGTCGTTCACTCTAACTTCATTAGAAAAGAGTGAAAAATTATATAGCAAATATCAGTGTATCTGCAACCCAGCATCTTTAAAAAGGCCTATTTCTTTTTGCATATTTCTTAAGACATCAGACGCTGATGAAGCTTATTTGCAGCACCATTCAGTCCAATGTCCTCAACTGCCACAAAGACAGGTATTTGTTTTTTCACAGTGTGGGTATGGCAGGGCCGCTGTAACAAAGAGGCACAAAGCTTCAGCAGTTTCAAGAATTCACAGCTTTATTTCTTTGTCACTTACCCCTACACCAGCAGCCCAGGCAGGGGTAGCACTGTTCCACAAGGTCCTTCAGCCTACTTCCCTCCTTCCTGTAACTTCATCATCCCTGGGACTGTCACCACCTGCATGCTTGAAGCTATATCATGCCACTTCCAAGTGCCAGCTAGTGGAGAGGAAAGAGAGTTTGGAACGGATATGCTCATGTCTTCAAATGCAGACCCCTACGTAGTACACATGCCTTCTTCTTACATTCCACTTGTGAGAACCTAGGCATACAGCCACACAGCACTTCACAGGAAGTGAGGAACCACAGGCTGGCTACACTGCCACATGCCTACCTAAGACTCTCCAACTATGGAGAAAGAGGTGCATGGATTTTGTAGAAAACCGGCAGCCTACTCTAGGCCATGCTACTATACTATTACCACCCACATATGCAAACCTAACACTATTTTAAAAATGGCAAATTAGTATAAACCACCAAACCTGAACATGCCAAAAAATAAATAAATAACAGTGAATACAGGCAAACCTTCTTCTTGATCTAGCAGGTAAACTTCAAAAATCTCATTAGTAAATATAATGATTATCAGTGTTTGATGGATACCATTTATCATTATCATTAAGGAGGCTTCCTTCCAGTCCTACTTTGCTAAGTGTTTTTAGTTTCTTAATTATGAATTAATTATGAATGTGGAACCTTAGGCTACCTTAGGCTTTCTGTTGAGATGATCATATGATTTTTCTTCTTTAAACTGTTAATGATATATATTGCATCAAGAGATTTTCTTTTTCTTTCTTTCTTTTTTTCTTAGAGAGAGAGAGAGCACATGTGCATGAGCAAGGGGAAGGAAAGTCTCTTAAGCAGACTCCAGGCCCAGCATGGAGCCCTACATGGGGTTCAATCTCATGACCCTGAGATCACGACCTCAGCTGACATCAAGAGTTGTATGCTTAACCGACCAGCCACCCTGAGAGATTTTCTAGTATTGAGCTAACCTTATAATTACTGGAATAAACCTTACTTTGTCCCTATATGTTTTTAAATCATTATTGAATTCAGTTTACTGTATTTTAGTTAGGATTTTTGCATTCATTGCTTATAAGTAATATTGGTCTATAATTGTACTGTTCTGTCTCAATTCCACTCAGAGTTTTATTAGCCTGATAAAATTATGTGGGTAGCTGACTTTTTGGATTTGGACTCATAAATGGTTTGTATAACATAGGGAATATTTCTCCCTTGAAGTTTGCAAAAACGTGCCAATAAAACTAGGTTGCTTGGGGGTGGGGGCGGCTACTGTTTTGATTCCTGATTCAATGTCTTGCATTGAATCAAATAGTTTATTTTAAATGTTCTTTTTTTTAATGTATTTGCATTTCAGGCTACAAATTTACCTCTAGGTATGATTTTTGCTGCATTCTACAAGGCTTGATATATGTGACTTGCATTGCCTTTCAGTTGTCACTGTGATTTCTCTCATTCACTCATGTGGTGGGCTGAGTAATACTCACCCCACCCCTCTTCAAAATATGCCCATCAATAATGTCTAGAACCTGGGACTATTACTTTATTGCATACTTTGCAAGTATGACTAACTTAAGGATCTTGATATGGAGACATTATTCTGGATATTTGGGTGGGTCCTAAATGCAATCACATGTATCCTTATAGGATAGGGGCAGAGAGAGATTCCATTACAGACAGAGGAGGAGAAGGAGGCATATGACCACAGAGGTAGAAATTAGAGGGATGGAGCCATAAGCCTTACAAATTCTGGAGCCACCAGAAACCAGAAGATGCAAGGAATGAATTCTCCCCTAGAGTTTTCAAAAGGAGCATGGCCCTGGAAACACTGATTTCAGCCTGTAATACTGATTTCAGACTTCTGGTCTTCAGAACTGTAAGAAAATGTATTTCTATAGTGTTAAGCTACCAAGTTTGTGGCAATTTGTTATAGCAGTCATAGGAAACTAATATACCATGGATTATTTGGAAGTACATTTCTAGTTTCCCAATGTATGTTTGTTCATTTTTATTCTCTTTTTTTATGTCTCTTTTAATTCCCTTTCATTGGAAAACCATGATTGATATGATGATGGTTATTTGAAATCTGGAGATAATATTTTTGTGACCTATACATAGTAAACTTTTATAATTACCCTATGTGTACTTAGAAATAAGATATATTTGCATTTGAGAGTTGTAGAATTGTCTTTATATAAAGCTAGATAACAAAGATAGATAGATAGATAGATAGATAGATAGATAGATAGATAGATAGATAGATGATAGATAGATAGATAGATAGATAGATAGATAGATAAAGCTAGATAACAAGCTTTATCTTCTCTTCCTATTTTCTTTATTCCTACTGACTAGGGGTCAGTTCAACCAATCATTTCTGACATACTAGAATATCTCAGGGTTTTAAACAATTAATCAGTTTTTCCTTATAATTCTTTTTTTTTAAAGATTTTATTTACTTATTCATAAGAGACAGAGAGAGAGAGAGAGAGAGAGAGAGAGAGAGAGGCAGAGACACACAGGCAGAGGGAGGAGCAGGCTCCATGCAGGGAGCCGGATGAGGGACTTGATCCCAGGTCTCCAGGATCACGCCCTGGACTGAAGGTGGTGCTAAACCACTGTGCCACTGGGGCTTCCCAATTTTCCTTATAATTCTATCATCTTTTGCTTTTTGTATTTTGAGGCTACATTGGTAGATGCATACCATTTCACACTTCTGTATTTCCTCTCCCTAGCTCCATAGGCCCTAATTCCACACTGTCATATATTATGGATTTAACCACGAAGTGAGGGTGAATTGATTGAAATCCTGGTCAAGAGGCTGCACTTTCATCCTTTCTCCTCTGTCATATATATGTGTAGCCTCAAGTCTCACCCAGGCCCAAGTGCCAGGCAATGAACTGATCTCTAGATCCTTTTTTCTATTCTTTTTTTTTTCTTTTCCATGTAGTAATGTTTCCTAGGACAGACTTCTAGACAATGCTGCATCCCTCAGGACATGAGACACATTGTATTATTTTTCCATTGTATATTTATTTGTGTTCTGAGCCCCAACTATGTCTTCTTATCCATTATTATGCTACGTATTTGGAGGAGTGCCAGGAGCCATTTTGCCTGGAAATGCCCTGTATTATTTAAATTAAGTTGAGTAGAGTTTTCTGTTATTTGCTATTAAGGGACATAATATTATTCTCTCCATTTTACAGACTAGTAAACTGGGGCTGAGAAGCTAACTATCCCAAGGCTCCCATAGCTCATAAGCCAAGGAGATCCAGAAATTGAGTTTAAGTCACTGGCTACAAAGCCTGTGGTCTTTTTCTTCTACTATGAATTTTAGAAATGAACATTTCTAGATTCTTAAAAAGTACAAATCTTGTCCTACCCTTCACCAGCCCCTCTACCTCCTCCCCTCTCTACATCTATGGTTCTAACTTGTTTCACTGATGGCAATATGAAAGCCAGATTGAACTAAAATTGTCAGCTCTGAGTTTCCTGATCATTCTTACTTTGTTGGCTTTGTTGGGAACATATGCCAACCATGCCTGCCATGGAGAGGATGTGGGCTTGCTGAGATTCATGGTTCCTCCACGCCAATTAAACAGACTTCTGCAAGCAGAGCAGGTATCTTGAAAACCAGCTTCTCTGCAATGTCTGAATCCTTTCTTGAAAGTGTGACCATATACCCTTCATCACCAAGAACAATTAATATTCTCTTCTGCCATATTCTCCTTCACTACTCTCCTTTCACCCTCAACATCAGTCAATTACAATCATTGCAAAGGAATACATTTTCTTTTTAAGATGTTATTTATTTATTTTTCAGAGGGAAGGCAGAGGCAGAAGGAGAGGGAGAAAAAGAATCTCAAGCAGACTCCATGTCAAGCATGGAGTCCAATACAGGCTCAGTCTCATAACTCTGAGATCATGGCCTGAGCTGAAATCAAGAGTTGGATACTTAACTGACTGAGCCACCCAGGTGTTCCAGGAATACATTTTCATTTACTGATTCTTTGTTTAATGTAACTGTCCCCACATTTGGACCAGAGAATGCTCTTTCTTTTCCTCTTTTTCTCTCCCACTCAATAGATAAGAGACTGCTGTATATTATTGTTCCCTTCTCTGTTGGGAAGATAGTATTTACTGCATCACCCAGATGAACAGGAATAGAAGTATTTCCTACCCTAAGTAATTTTCTCATTTCCATAGCATACAGTCTGAAGATATTAATACAAATGAAGTTAAATCTGCACCAAGAATATAATGTTATTACCAATGTGTATAAGTAGTTCTTCCAAGAATGAACTTTCTCCTGAGTTAAATTTTTATTTAATTTATTTATGATAGTCACAGAGAGAGAGAGAGAGGCAGAGACACAGGCAGAGGGAGAAGCAGGCTCCACGCACCGGGAGCCCGACGTGGGATTCGATCCCAGGTCTCCAGGATCGCGCCCTGGGCCAAAGGCAGGTGCCAAACCGCTGCACCACCCAGGGATCCCCTGAGTTAAAATTTTTAAAGGCGTAGTAACATATGTCAAGTTAGACTAATGAGATTGTCTCTGAAGTATAGAATTGAGTGAGTATACGGTGATACCAGAATGCATAGATTGGATTAATGCAAGTTTGTTAATGAAATAACACTTCATAGCAATTTAATAATGAGTTGGTTTCTCAAAGAGTCTTTCATGGAGCACTCGTTTCATGGGATGTTCCCTGAACTAATGAGCCCAGGTGCATTTCAGATACTACTTGAGCACAGCTTCAGATTCATAGGGTCTCAGGTGTCTCCTAATCCAGTGACTATGGTAGGACTACTTTTGGTTGGGTTCTGACCTGCTTCCTTCAGATGCTCATGCTGTTCTTACTCAAAGGCAGGTAAGGATCTGCTAGGTAGGTGCTTAGACCTAGGTGTAGAGACTGCATGTGTGGGGAAAGTGAACTAATTAGGGAGGAAACCAGTGGATAACTATTGTCTCCTTCCTTCCCCTAATAGAGAGCCCCCAGACACATTTCACCCTGCTCTTTGAGCTGCTCTGTGGGGTCAGGCTGCTAACAGCCTGGGAAGCAGCCAGACTCTTGGCTGCCTCTTCCTTGGTCTTTGATGTGTCCTACCTATCACTCTTGACTCCCTGAGTAATAGTCCCCAGTAGAAAGCTTGCACTTAAAATTTGTCTTAAATCCTGCTTTATGGGAAACCCAAACAAAACATAATCATTCCAAACATACTCACCTGGGAAATGCCATGCACTGAATCCCATTTCTGAAAAGCCATGATGCTCATCAGTTTCTTAAAAGTTCTAAAGAGTCCTTTTCCTAAGCAAACAAGGAAACAAAACAAAATAGAAAAACCTGCTTACTGCTTAAGTTTGTTATACCAAATTAGCAAATTGCCAGAATCATTCCACCATGAGACTCATTTGGAAAATAACTCCTCAAAACTGGGTACAATATACACACCCTGGGAAATGCAAATATGGAGTTTACTATATCTACACTGAGGATATGTGGTGTTTCTGAGAGCTTATTTATATGAATGCTGCAGTGTGTTGAATGGTGGCCCTCAATAAAGATATTTCCAAGGCCTAACCCTTGGAATGTGCAAATATGACCTAATTTGGGGGGAAAATGTAATTTAGTTAAACATCCTGAGATGGAAAACTCATCTTGGATTAGCTGGGTCGACCCAAACCTAGTGACAAGCGTTCTTGTAAAGACAAAGAAGAGAAATGACAGGCACAGAAGAGAAGACCAGGTGACCACAGAGGCAGAGATTGGATTGATGCAGCCATATGCCAAGGTACACCTGGAACCACCAGAAGTGGGAAGGGGCAAGGAAGGATGCCCTTCCAGAGTCTTCGCGGGTGTGTGTGACTCTGCGTACACCTTGATTTTGGACATCTGACTTTTCAGACAGTGAAAGAATAAATGTTTCCAGCTACCCAGGTTGTGGTAATTTGTTATGACAAATTATATCCGCACCTGTACAAAAGTCCTACAGGTGCCATCATGCCTAATGGAAAAGATGCATGGGGGCAGCCCAGGTGGCTCAGCGGTTTGGTGCCGCCTTCAGTCCAGGGCATGATCCTGGAGACCTAGGATTGGGTCCCACATCGGGTTTCCTGCGTGGAGCCTGCTTCTCTCTTTGCCTGTGTCCCTGTCTCTCTCTCTCTCTCTCTCTCTCTCTCTCTCTCTCTCTCATGAGTAAATGAATAAAATCTTTAAAAAAAAAAAAAAAAAGGAAAAGATACATGGAAGGGAACTTCCTTGTCACCTGGAAGGTCACCTGGACCTTGTCACCTGGAATAAGTACCAGGCTGCTCTCCTTGGGGGCCGGGTCCTATAGACAGGGATTCAGAGGACCATGTTCTTCCTGAGAGCAGAGCAGGAGAGAGAAGAAGGGGCAGCTCCAAGCACCTCAGTGCCGGGGACTTGGCTCTGACAGCCCTCAAACCTTGCACACATCGGTTCAATGTCCTGACTCTTGGTTTGCCTCATTTGTAAAGGTATAAAGTGGTTGTTGGTTCCTTTCCAGCTCCCAAATCCTGGGATCGCCCACAGGAGTCCTTAAACAACAGACTGTCCCAATGCCTTTTCAGTGGTTGTTAATAGAGGAAGCAAAGAAAAAAGAGAAGAGGTGAAGAGGAGCAGAGAGAACAAGAGTCTGCTCAAATGATCAGGAACAAGCTTAATACATAAAAGTGGATTCACACTTGGACTCATCCAAATAAAAATATCTAGACAAGGCTGTCTTTATTTCTTTTCCACCTTAATTAACTTGAACTTGGTCAGGGGTGGGGCACTGGTTGGCACAGAGGGCTGCAGGTGCCTTTTAGAATTTGGGTAACAATGACTCAGTGATCCTCAGTATACACTATTCAGATCATGCCCACTGATTGCCTGCAAAGTTTCACTTTCCTGACCTATTTCAGAAGGAAAACATGGACACCAGTCTCTACTGCAAACCCCTTTGTAAATATAGATTTCTAAGCTTCAGCAAACCTGCGACTCTTGTCGTCTCTTTGGTCTTCTCTGGCTGGGCCTTGAGGATGTGGGACAGGTCAAACTGCAATGCCCACTCTCCACTGACCTTCTTTTGGAAGTTCGGTATTTCCTTTCTGTGTTGCCTTTCAAACCCATGACCCATGACTGCTTCAGGAAAGCCAAGTTGAATTTTTTTTCATAAATTGAATTATATTGTAAAAATTTACTTGGGTACTTCACTATTTAAAAGTCGCATGACAAGGCACCTAGGTGGCTTAGTGGTTGATCTTCTGCCTTCGGCTCAGGTCGTGATCCAGGGATCCTGGGATTAAGTCCTGCACTGGACTCCCTGTGGTGAGCCTATGTCTCCCTCTACCTGTGCCTCTGCCTCTGTGTGTGTGTCTCTCATGAATAAATAAATAAAATTAAAAAAAAAAAGTCACATAACAAATCAGCAGGTAGTCGTCCACTTTTGAAAAGCAGTCTCTCTGGGGGCCTCTCCTGTCTTAGAGTAAGTTTGCACATAGTGGGGTGCGGCTGCATGCCCCACAAATCTTTCCAATCTTCTTTGAGACTCCCCATTGCCTGTGTTCCTGCCTCAGCCAACCTGCCAGGGGTGCTGTACAGAGTTCTGCAGGATGGCCTCCAGGCTATAGGAAGCAGCAAAGAGATTCTTGAAAGAGCGCCAGATGGAAAACACATGACAGTTTTGGATTCCTTCCAGGGCCCAGACAAGAAACACTACAAAGACGGTCATTTCTTCACAGGGACTTGAGAAAGAAAAAAAAAAAAGTTACTAATGTCTCTTAAATTTTTCCACAGAGTCAGAAGTAAACAGACTTAGAAAGAGCATATATTTCATATGGACGTTCTCACAGGACATTTGTAAGATGTTAGAATCGTAGCCTTGGTGGAGTGAAGAAAGCCCTGGACAAAAAACCGAGGAGCCCAAGTTGTAGTCTTGACACAGCTCTGTGCAAGGGAGAAGGGAGCCCCTTCTGAAACTGAACTGGGAGCTTCAGTTTGTCCTCTATAGAAGGGAAGGGAGTACCTCCTTCTTCTGGTTCTGGGAATGCAGGCTGAAATAAATATAGTTTGTAAAGGTGGTATCTGTTGTACATGTGTCAACTATCATCAGGAAGGCCTCAGGGGGCATTTTCCTGAACGGCATATCCAACCAACCTTGGATGGTTAACATAACTCTTGATGGAGCAGGTGGGTGTCTTAAATGCCCAAATTCTTCTCCCCCCCCCCTTTTTTGAAAAAAACAAATTAACTCTGGGACTCCTCATCTTGTGAGACAGCCAAAGATGTACACGTCCTGCGGTTCACCTGAGTATGTAGTGACTGCAGATTGGCATCAGAGTAACTTGCAGCCAAGGGATGTGTAGTGATCTCATGGGATCATATGCAAAAATTAGAGTGTTCAGCTTGGGGATAGAACAAAAAGAGGCATAGCTCCAGAATACACCCAGTCGCTGGAAAGTTTTAAGCCTCCAGACATTATCATATCCCCCCTCAACCATTATGTGCTTGAAAAAATATGTCCTCAAGTGGATCAAGGACAGTTTTCCCATAGAAATTATGCATAATTATGGGTCTCTGTTACTGTTCAAGAACTTGGCATTAAATGGACCATTGATATGCTGCAAGAATAAAGATACCATGACTCCAAATCATTGTACTTACTTAAACTAGAAATGTTATGTTCCATGTGATAGACAATTAGAACTAGACATAATAATAAAATAATAATAAAAAACAAAAAATTTATTATTGGTATTATCTGCACAGGAAACCCAGAAGTCTCTGTATCTATATTAGTACATTTAGCAAACACATATAGCAAGTTTAGTGGATGATAAATCAGCTTATTTTTCAAATTTTTAAAAGATTTCTTTATTTGTGAGAGAGTGCAAGGAGGAGGAGTAGAGGGAGAAAGAGAAAGAGAATCCCAAGCAGACTCCCTGCTGAGCAGGGATCATGACCCTGAGATCATGACCTGAGCTAAAATCAAGAATTGGATGCTTAACCAATTGAGCCACCCATGCCCCCCAACTTATTTTTAAATTTTAAAACCAGCCACTAACTGTTAGAAATACTTTGTGGACTCCACCTCCTTCAGGCTGGTCAGCTATGGAGATCAAGTTTCCCCATATCTGAATAAGTTTGGTGTTCATAGGTAGAGCTTCAGGCTTGAAGAACAGGAAAGCCACAAAGGATGTAGCTTTGGATGCAATCAGATCCAATCGAAACCCTGGCTTCTCTATTTGGCACTTATGTAAATCTTGGTTTTCACCCATGCACAATGGAGACAGTGATGACACTTCTGACAATTCACAAGATGGCGATTTGGTTCCAACAATGCAAGTGGAGGTGCTCTAGAGCCAGAAACTCTTCAGAGTGGACCACTGCTATTAACTGAGTCCGTGAAAGCATAGACTGAAGCCACTAGGGCTTGGCTCTTCCACTAACTCCTGCATAAGCTGAGCCTCTCCGGGCCTCAGCCTCTTCATCCTGGCTCTGTCAAGCAAGGAGAGCAGTGTCCAACTCTCCAGGTTGTAGTGAAGACACAACGAATTACAAATTACTATGTGGAAAGCTCTTACAATACTGCCCAGCACATGGCAAGTGTCAGCTCTTACTGTATTTTCATATCTCCCCAGAAGGAAGCTGTTTAAAAAACTGCCTATCACAAATAATAAACTGTATTTAGAGTTTTGTTTTGTTTTGTTTTGTTTTTTAAGGAATCTTAAAGGTGACCCAGGCCAATCCCTTCTTTTAGGGAAAGAAATTGAGACCAGAGTGTTTCCTCCGGGATGGGTCACCCAGGGGCTCCTGACTCCCAATTCAAAATTTTCCTTGATATTAGTCTCCTTTGTAAATAAAGATCTATATGAAGGCAACACTATCCCTATTAGTTAACCAAAGAGGTCACAAATCCCATAAACTATACCTTTTACAGATGAAGTAACTATGACTCAGCGTTTCAGGAATTTGCTAAAGGTTACACAGCTCTGAACCATCTGAAATTAGTTGAAGAGCATTATGGTTACTGGAGTAACCACTAACTGGTTGTAGAGCCTGAAGCTAGTCACTTGATCTATTCCTTGATACTCGAGAGTGGTCTGTGGGTCAGCATCATCCCAGAGCTTGGTAGCAAGGCTGAACCTCAGGTCCCACCCCAGACCTCACTGAATCAGAATCTGCATTTGAAAGTTCCTTCTAGAAGCATTCCTCTTTTCTGCTCATCTATAAAGGAGGCCAGGGATATTTTAGGTGCTCCCTTCCAGCTCTAAAATGCTCTGGATTCTCTCGTTTCCTTTGTATCCCCATGATCTCCTAATTCTAAAGAAATATTTGAAGGGGAAAAGAGTTTACGAAAGCATCCTAAAGGTCAGGGTGAAGAGAGAGTGAGCAGAGGCAGATTTCTTTTCATTAGGGATATGGTTTGGGGGTGGCAGGAATTCTCCTAACCTTTGAGGGTCTGTGTGTGATGTTTGGATCCAATGATTGACAGGAACAGAGCCCTGTCTGCCAGGAGTCCAGGAGACCTGGGTGCTTGTCTCCTCTCCGCCACCAGAACAGCTGGGAAAGCTTACGAGATTGACCCGGTCCCCTGCCCTCTGAAATGAACAAATTGGTTCTCTACAGAGCTTTCATTTACACTATCAGCCTACACTATCAGAATCTGTTTTGTTTTGTTTTAATAACCTGCTTATGTAACTTACCTGTGATTTCTTCGGGTGGGTTTCTAGCAGAGTGTTCATCTCTAACTCAGAACTTTGGCTGCAAAAGGAGACAAGGGTGTTCTCATTAAGGGCTTACCTTGACAATGACCAGGATTCCCCTGGGAATGGGGACCCGAGTGATTTTTCTACTCAGTTTATTTCCATCCTCCATGTTAAATAATTGTTCGATCACATTCCCTTTGGTCCTGACCTTACTTAAAAGGGCTGCCTTTCCTTGCACTCTGCTTATCAACCTTTTTACTCCTTTCTACAGCTCGGGGAGCACATGCCTGCGCTATCTGGGTGCTGACCACCCTGGCAGCAAAAGCAGTGTCCATGGAAACTAACCCAAGGGTGACCGAAATAGACCAAGTACATTTCATCTTTAAGAGGCTCTGCCTGCTTTTGCCTGGACTTATGCCCATTTCTCTGAGCTCCAGCTGAAGTTCATAGCTACAGAACATAAACCCCCTCTTCTCAATCCTTAGGCTTCACCTTTGCACACAGAGCAGCTTGGAGTTCTTCATATGCATTAGGCTAAAGAATAGTTTTCTGTTCTCATAAACATGGAAGTTTTAGAAGTCCAAAGTTGACTCTGAAAGTGACACAGAGCTACAGAAAGGTTTTGTTTGCCAAACACTTGCAAATCATTTTCCCTCCACAAAAGCTTTTAAAATGTCAGCAGCCTGCACATCTCTGCCTATGGGGCTGTTCCTAACACAGGCCCAGGGCAGTAATTTACTGCCCACAGTCCACCAGCCTCTGGACCCTGGGAAGGCTGTGAATATTTATGGACGTCCAGGCAGGGGTTTCCTGGAACTATCCAGGGGTAGCATCGTCCCTCTCACTCTCTCTACGGCACAGAAACATTTTTGTGAAGGTATTTTTATTTTAAATAAGTGAGCTCAACAAGCAAATACTAAGCAAGAATTAGTGAGAAAAATGATGCCAAGGAGAATGAAGAAAGGTCTCTGGCACAATAAGATTCCGGTTTCTTTTTTCCTCCTCTCTTTTCTTTTTCTGAGGGAGAGTACATGGAATACCCATATCCAACCTCTCTGAGTTCTGTGTGTAAATCAGAGATCGTTTCATGGGCTAAAAACAAATTCATGCATGGGGTTTGCTGGTGTGGGCTTCATCTCCCTATATAGTTACCAGGTGAAGGAAATAGTCATCTTCCCACTCCTTCCTAAGCAAGAAGTTGGAAAGCTCAAACTTTGCTGTAAAGGCAATCATGAATTATCAAGAGAGAATAGAATTTATTTTTATTCACAAATGGGCCAAAGAGGTATCTGGGCAAAATAAGAGGAAGTTAAAACAGACCCATGGGCAAGAGGCACATCCAAGTTTCCCCAAATATATTATTACTCTCTGTTTGACTAACACAGTATTCATAAAAATAGGTGAGGAAAACAGCGCATTATTTTCCCTCCAGAAAGGGAAATTTAACCTCTCTCTGAAACGCATTACTGTATCATTTTAATTAAGGCATACTTCGAGCATATATTCAGCTGAGTAACCCATTCCCTCCCCCCATTAACCACATTCTCCAGGCACTGAACAGGATGTAAGAAGAACTGCCAAGTCACTACTGGATCATTTCTCACTCTGAGGTTGCTTTCCCGGCATCGACTACATCTGACTCTACAGACGAAAAAACATAAAATGATCTTCAAGAATGAAAAACTTGTATGGAGTTTTTTGCAATAGTCTTGAACAATTGAATGAATGCTGTGACCCAACTAGATTTTATTTTGCTTTTGTACTGAATGAGTTGACAGATTTGAGAGAAAAGACAGATGATTTTTTTTTAATCCAGGCAATTTTGCAGATAAGGCTGCTGGAAATGTTAAAGGACTTCCAGCAATAGATGAACATTCATTTCAAATTGAGCTTTTAGCTGCACTTCATTCTGTAAGTTATTGTCTGTGCTCTCTTGTTCCTTGCTGTTTTCACATATAGGGCAAAGGTTTATAAAGAGCTCAAGTCCCAGAGGACCCTAAGCAGCTATGAGATGTCAACTAGGCAGTTTCATTACTAGAAATCTAGATAAACTCATTTATTTTAAGACCAGGGAAATGACAATACCATAAAATAACTGGCTAGTTCTTCATAATAAATGAACAAGCATAGATGCTTTTATACACACACACATAAACACACAGACGGTACACGTCTCATTCAGCCAAACAGAACCTAAGGGCTTCTTACTCAGTAACTTGGAAGATCATTAGTTTTATTTGGAAATGGGAAAAAAAGAAAAAATACAATTGGGTCTTAACTGCTGAGGCCAGGAAAAAGAAGAGAGCTGTGCTCGAGTATTTTTATCTTCTTCTGTGCATGAGTTCAGAAGGTCAACCTTGTCTGTCTCCCACAGTATGACAAAATGACTGTCTTCCCAGCTCCTTGCTGCATCCTGGGGACCATCTACTCTTCTTTCCACCACCCCCCTTCTGAGCTCCTCTGAAGTCCATGTGGTAAGACTATGCTACAAACTAGTCTCTTTGGGGTGGTCATCTTCAGACCCTCAATCACTCCTCTTCACTTCTCACAGAGTTTAGTTGTTCTTTTATCATCCTGTCACTCTTTCCACTGCTACCTTGTTATGATTCTTGAGGATTTCAATATCCACATAGAGAATTCTTCTAATAATTTCATTTCTTAATCCTCCCTTCCCCTCTTTGCCTCCTATGTGCTTGCCCTCCACCCCATTTCAAATAATCCGTCCCACTCCAGACTTTATCATTATCAGCTGGTGTGCCCCTACATAATCTCAATTTCAAACATTCCACCTGATGACCACTGCATCCTATTTTTTCAGATCATTACCTCTAGAGTACAAACTCCATTAACCCTTTGGCCCCCTGGGACTTCTAAGCACCCCCTCTCCTATTTTTTCATGGCTTCCCACCTCCTAGTGTTCTCTTCTCCTTCCAGACCTGCTTTTGATCCCTTGCTCTGTAACTGTGATCAGTCCCTTGCACTGTTCTCAACTCCCTTTCCCCTCCTTGCTCCCTCCATTAGCTACAACATAATTAAATCCAACTTTGTGCCTTCTGTCTCATCTGGATCTAAATTATTAACCAAACCTCAGTGAGCCCAGAATGCTGGCCAGAAATTCTACACATTTCCCTGGTCAACTCACACTATGAATCTTTGAATCTACCATTTCATAATTCCTTTTCTATCCCTAACCTACTAAAATTTATTCCCCTTTCCTTTCTCTCAAGTAAAGACTTTCTTACTTCAAGGAAAGAGAGAATTAGTAATAAGAGAAATCCTAAAAGTTCCCACCTCCAAATGTACCAAATGTACCAATCCACCTGCATCTGGGCCTATGAACTACACCCTCATCCTGTTCCTTTGTCCCACACCTTCCTAAGGTCACTCCTTCCCTCAGACAGTGAATTTTATCCCTTAGAGGGAAGAGAATTTTCAAGGGCACCTCTCCTGCAGTTGTGCCCTCCTCTCACAAAATTGCCCATTTCTCTCTCAATTTGATTATTGCAGTGAGCTCCCAGCCACGTTGTAATTGCAGCCTTGGCATCTCTTCATCCCTCCACTACTTGCCACATTCTTCTACTCCTTCATAGCATATAAATTCTCCAAAGAATTATCTAAATGTACTGTCCCCCTAGTATCTCTTCTAATCCTCTCTTGACCAGTCAGGTTTTGCCACTAAAACTCCTGTCAATCCAATCCAATATTCATTTCTTGGTCTTCTTTCTTGATCTATCCACAGAATTTCTTTACACCCTAATGATTCCCAAATGTCTGTCTGCAGCCTAGGTCATTCGTCTGAACTCCAGACATTTATTTTCCTGCCTTCCAGGAATTTCGATCTCACTCTTGATTACCCACCCAAACTTGCTTTTTCTCCCACCTTCCTCTTCTGGATAAATGACAACTCCATCTTTACAATTGGTGAAGCCCAAATCCTTGAGGTGTTCATTCCTTGACTTCTTTCTCTCAGATCCCTCTTCCAATATATCATGAAATACTCACAACTCTATCTTTGGAATGTATCCAGGATCTGGCCATGTCTCACGCCCTTTGTTCTGCTTCTGTTCTGCCATCATTTCTTAGCAAAATTATTGCAATAACCTTCTAATGTTCTTCCTGATTCTATCCTTTTGCTTCCCCTTCAGTGTGCATGTGTGTGTGTGTGTGTGTTTGTCTTAACACAACAACGAATGCTTTTAAGATCTAAAATCGACCTATTGTTCCTCTGCTCCAAATCTAACAAGGGCTTCTATCTCTCTCAGGATAAAATCCAAAATTTTCACCATAGCTTATACAACTCTATCTGATGACACCTTGCTACTTCTCTATCTTCATCTCTTGTGGCTTTCTCTCCCTCACCCACTCACATCCAGCTACTTGGGCTCTTACCACAGGTCATTTACACTTCCTTCTCTCAGATATCTGTCCATCTCACTTCATTCAGAGCTTTGCTCCAATGCCAAATTATCCAAGAATTTTCCCCTCTATTCTATTGAAAGTAGCCCCATGTTCTTCATCTTCTTTCTGTCTACTTACCCTGCTTTATTTTCCCTTCACCCTCACTACCACCTAACATATTTATTTATTATGTTACCTCCACTAGAAAGTGAGCTCCATATAAACAATGGTTTGATTTCATTGCTGTGTCCCAAGCACTCTGAGATACAGTAGATGAACAGTAAATATGTGTTGAATGAACAAATTAATTTTTAATAAGAACATTTAATAATAATATAATCCCTAAACCAGATTCAACCCCTGATTTAGTCATTAGGCACTTTTTAAGCATCTTCTTTGGGCCAATAAAACCAGCTTCAAAACAAAAATGTTACAACACGAAGAAAATTTGCTCATGAAAGACGACATTGATAATTATTTAAATATATTTCTGTATGTACACGAAAATATCCATATACCAGAACCATATCCTAGTCAAAAGGAGAACACTGAGTATGACACATAGCCATCAGTTAAAGAAAGATGCAAATGCCAAGATAGCAATTGCTTAATACATACATGTTGACTAAATGAACTAAAAGGGGACATAGATATTTGAAACTAATGATATACTATA